GTGGAGTTTGTGTGATCTCCCCCTGTTCTACAGAGTGAGTGAGTGGAGTTTGTGTGATCTCCCCGTGTTCTACAGAGTGAGTGGAGTTTGTGTGATCTCCCCCTGTTCTACAGAGTGAGTGAGTGGAGTTTGTGTGATCTCCCCCTGTTCTACAGAGTGAGTGAGTGGAGTTTGTGTGATCTCCCCCTGTTCTACAGAGTGAGTGAGTGGAGTTTGTGTGATCTCCCCCTGTTCTACAGTGAGAAAGTGGAGTTTGTGTGATCTCCCCCTGTTCTACAGAGTGAGTGGAGTTTGTGTGATCTCCCCCTGTTCTACAGAGTGAGTGGAGTTTGTGTGATCTCCCCCTGTTCTACAGAGTGAGTGAGTGGAGTTTGTATGATCTCCCCCTGTTCTACAGAGTGAGTGAGTGGAGTTTGTGTGATCTCCCCCTATTCTACAGAGTGAGTGGAGTTTGTGTGATCTCCCCGTGTTCTACAGAGTGAGTTAGTGGAGTTTGTGTGATCTCCCCCTGTTCTACAGAGTGAGTGAGTGGAGTTTGTGTGATCTCCCCCTGTTCTACAGAGTGAATGAGTGGAGTTTGTGTGATCTCCCCCTGTTCTACAGAGGGAGTGAGTGGAGTTTGTGTGATCTCCCCCTGTTCTACAGAGTGAGTGAGTGGAGTTTGTGTGATCTCCCCCTGTTCTACAGAGTGAGTGGAGTTTGTGTGATCTCCCCCTGTTCTACAGAGTGAGTGAGTGGAGTTTGTGTGATCTCCCCCTATTCTACAGAGTGAGTGGAGTTTGTGTGATCTCCCCCTGTTCTACAGAGGGAGTGGAATTTGTGTGATCTCCCCCTGTTCTACAGAGTGAGTGAGTGGAGTTTGTGTGATCTCCCCCTGTTCTACACAGTGAGTGAGTGGAGTTTGTGTGATCTCCCCCTGTTCTACAGAGTGAGTGAATGGAGTTTGTGTGATCTCCCCGTGTTCTACAGAGTGAGTGAGTGGAGTTTGTGTGATCTCCCCCTGTTCTACAGAGTGAGTGAGTGGAGTTTGTGTGATCTCCCCCTGTTCTACAGAGTGAGTGAGTGGAGTTTGTGTGATCTCCCCCTGTTCTACAGAGCGAGTGAGTGGAGTTTGTGTGATCTCCCCCTGTTCTACAGAGTGAGTGAGTGGAGTTTGTGTGATCTCCCCCTGTTCTACACAGTGAGTGAGTGGAGTTTGTGTGATCTCCCCCTGTTCTACAGAGTGAGTGAGTGGAGTTTGTGTGATCTCCCCCTGTTCTACACAGTGAGTGAGTGGAGTTTGTGTGATCTCCCCCTGTTCTACAGAGTGAGTGAATGGAGTTTGTGTGATCTCCCCGTGTTCTACAGAGTGAGTGAGTGGAGTTTGTGTGATCTCCCCCTGTTCTACAGAGTGAGTGAGTGGAGTTTGTGTGATCTCCCCCTGTTCTACAGAGTGAGTGAGTGGAGTTTGTGTGATCTCCCCCTGTTCTACAGAGCGAGTGAGTGGAGTTTGTGTGATCTCCCCCTGTTCTACAGAGTGAGTGAGTGGAGTTTGTGTGATCTCCCCCTGTTCTACAGAGTGAGTGGAGTTTGTGTGATCTCCCCCTGTTCTACAGAGTGAGTGAGTGGAGTTTGTGTGATCTCCCCCTGTTCTACAGAGTGAGTGGAGTTTGTGTGATCTCCCCCTGTTCTACAGAGTGAGTGGAGTTTGTGTGATCTCCCCCTGTTTTACAGAGTGAGTGGAGTTTGTGTGATCTCCCCCTGTTCTACAGAGTGAGTGGAGTTTGTGTGATCTCCCCCTGTTCTACAGAGTGAGTGAGTGGAGTTTGTGTGATCTCCCCCTGTTCTACAGAGTGAGTGGAGTTTGTGTGATCTCCCCCTGTTCTACACAGTGAGTGAGTGGAGTTTGTGTGATCTCCCCTTGTTCTACAGAGTGATTGAGTGAGTGGAGTTTGTGTGATCTCCCCCTGTTCTACACAGTGAGTGAGTGGAGTTTGTGTAATCTCTCCCTCTTCTACAGAGTGAGTGAGTGGAGTTTGTGTGATCTCCCCCTGTTCTACAGAGTGAGTGAGTGGAGTTTGTGTGATCTCCTCCTGTTCTACAGAGTGAGTGAGTGGAGTTTGTGTGATCTCCCCCTGTTCTACAGAGTGAGTGAGTGGAGTTTGTGTGATCTCCCCCTGTTCTACAGAGTAAGTGAGTGGAGTTTGTGTGATCTCCCCCTGTTCTACAGAGTGAGTGGAGTTTGTGTGATCTCCCCCTGTACTACACAGTGAGTGAGTGGAGTTTGTGTGATCTTCCACTGTTCTACAGAGTGAGTGGAGTTTGTGTGATCTCCCCCTGTTCTACAGAGTGAGTGGAGTTTATGTGATCTCCCCCTGTTCTACAGAGTGAGTGGAGTTTGTGTGATCTCCCCCTGTTCTACAGAGTGAGTGAGTGGAGTTTGTGTGATCTCCCCCTGTTCTACAGAGTGAGTGGAGTTTGTATGATCTTCCCCTGTTCTACACAGTGAGTGAGTGGAGTTTGTGTGATCTCCCCCTGTTCTACAGAGTGAGTGAGTGGAGTTTGTGTGATCTCCCCCTGTTCTACACAGTGAGTGAGTGGAGTTTGTGTGATCTCCCCCTGTTCTACAGAGTGAGTGAGTGGAGTTTGTGTGATCTCCCCCTGTTCTACAGAGTGAGTGAGTGGAGTTTGTGTGATCTCCCTCTGTTCTACAGAATGAGTGAGTGGAGTTTGTATGATCTCCCCCTGTTCTACAGAGTGAGTGAGTGGAGTTTGTGTGATCTCCCCCTGTTCTACAGAGTGAGTGAGTGGAGTTTGTGTGATCTCCCCCTGTTCTACAGAGTGAGTGAGTGGAGTTTGTGTGATCTCCCCTGTTCTACAGAGTGAGTGGAGTTTGTGTGATCTCCCCCTGTTCTACAGAGTGAGTGAGTGGAGTTTGTATGATCTCCCCCTGTTCTACAGAGTGAGTGAGTGGAGTTTGTGTGATCTCCCCCTATTCTACAGAGTGAGTGGAGTTTGTGTGATCTCCCCCTGTTCTACAGAGTGAGTGAGTGGAGTTTGTGTGATCTCCCCCTGTTCTACAGAGGGAGTGGAATTTGTGTGATCTCCCCCTGTTCTACAGAGTGAGTGAGTGGAGTTTGTGTGATCTCCCCCTGTTCTTCACAGTGAGTGAGTGGAGTTTGTGTGATCTCCCCCTGTTCTACAGAGTGAGTGGAGTTTGTGTGATCTCCCCGTGTTCTACAGAGTGAGTGGAGTTTGTGTGATCTCCCCCTGTTCTACAGAGTGAGTGAGTGGAGTTTGTGTGATCTCCCCCTGTTCTACAGAGTGAGTGAGTGGAGTTTGTGTGATCTCCCCCTGTTCTACAGAGGGAGTGAGTGGAGTTTGTGTGATCTCCCCCTGTTCTACAGAGTGAGTGAGTGGAGTTTGTGTGATCTCCCCCTGTTCTACAGAGTGAGTGGAGTTTGAGTGATCTCCCCCTGTTCTACAGAGTGAGTGAGTGGAGTTTGTGTGATCTCCCCCTGTTCTACAGAGTGAGTGGAGTTTGTGTGATCTCCCCCTGTTCTACAGAGGGAGTGAGTGGAGTTTGTGTGATCTCCCCCTGTTCTACAGAGTGAGTGAGTGGAGTTTGTGTGATCTCCCCCTGTTCTACAGTGAGAAAGTGGAGTTTGTGTGATCTCCCCCTGTTCTACAGAGTGAGTGAGTGGAGTTTGTGTGATCTCCCCCTGTTCTACAGAGTAAGTGAGTGGAGTTTGTGTGATCTCCCCCTGTTCTACAGAGTGAGTGGAGTTTGTGTGATCTCCCTCTGTTCTACACCGTGAGTGAGTGGAGTTTGTGTGATCTCCCCCTGTTCTACAGAGTGAGTGAGTGGAGTTTGTGTGATCTCCCCCTGTTCTACAGAGTAAGTGAGTGGAGTTTGTGTGATCTCCCCCTGTTCTACAGAGTGAGTGGAGTTTGTGTGATCTCCCCCTGTTCTACAGAGTGAGTGAGTGGGGTTTGTATGATCTTCCCCTGTTCTACAGAGTGAGTGAGTGGAGTTTGTGTGATCTCCCCCTGTTCTACAGAGTGAGTGAGTGAAGTTTGTGTGATCTCCCCTGTTCTACAGAGTGAGTGAGTGGAGTTTGTGTGATCTCCCCTGTTCTACAGAGTGAGTGAGTGGAGTTTGTGTGATCTCCCCCTGTTCTACAGAGTGAGTGGAGTTTGTATGATCTCCCCCTGTTCTACACAGTGAGTGAGTGGAGTTTGTGTGATCTCCCCCTGTTCTACAGAGTGAGTGAGTGGAGTTTGTGTGATCTCCCCCTGTTCTACAGAGTGAGTGAGTGGAGTTTGTGTGATCTCCCCCTGTTCTACAGAGTGAGTGAGTGGAGTTTGTGTGATCTCCCTCTGTTCTACAGAGTGAGTGGAGTTTGTATGATCTCCCCCTGTTCTACTGAGTGAGTGAGTGGAGTTTGTGTGATCTCCCCCTGTTCTACACAGTGAGTGAGTGGAGTTTGTGTGATCTCCCCCTGTTCTACAGAGTGAGTGGAGTTTGTGTGATCTCCCCATGTTCTACAGAGTGAGTGAGTGGAGTTTGGATGATCTCCCCCTGTTCTACAGAGTGAGTGAGTGGAGTTTGTGTGATCTCCCCCTGTTCTACAGAGTGAGTGAGTGGAGTTTGTGTGATCTCCCCTGTTCTACAGAGTGAGTGAGTGAGTGGAGTTTGTGTGATCTCCCCCTGTTCTACAGAGTGAGTGAGTGGAGTTTGTGTGATCTCCCCCTGTTCTACAGAGTGAGTGAGTGGAGTTTGTGTGATCTCCCCCTGTTCTACAGAGTGAGTGAGTGGAGTTTGTGTGATCTCCCCCTGTTCTACAGAGTGAGTGAGTGGAGTTTGTGTGATCTCCCCCTGTTCTACAGAGTGAGTGAGTGGAGTTTGTGTGATCTCCCCCTGTTCTACAGAGTGAGTGAGTGGAGTTTGTGTGATCTCCCCCTGTTCTACACAGTGAGTTGATGTTCATAATAGTGATGTAGTGGTTGGTGTTGATGTTGTTGATGTTGTTGATGTTCCCTGCAGGGCGATGAGGTCCCTTCATCGTCTTTCACTTTCGCTCCCCACGCTCCTCATCATCCTCCTCCTCCTCTCGCCCGCCGGCCTCTCCTCGCCGGACCCCAGCACAACCCCTGGTGAGAACACGCCCTCACCCTCTCAGTCCACGGTGGCCAGGAGATGTTGACTACCTCGCCTGGTACACAGGAGGTCGTGGGTTCCATCCCGACCCTGACAACGCCTGCTGCTACTGCTGTAGATGTGGAGTCTCTGAGTGTCTCTCTCTCATCATCATCACCACCACAGTGGCTAGGAGATGTTGACTACCTCGCCTGGTGTACAGGAGGTCGTGGGTGAGATGTTGACTACCTCGCCTGGTACACAGGAGGTCGTGCTGGTGAGATGTTGACTACCTCGCCTGCTACACAGGAAGTCGTGGGTGAGATGTTGACTACCTCGCCTGGTACACAGGAGGTCGTGCTGGTGAGATGTTGACTACCTCGCCTGGTACACAGGAGGTCGTGCTGGTGAGATGTTGACTACCTCGCCTGGTGTACAGGAGGTCGTGGGTGAGATGTTGACTACCTCGCCTGGTACACAGGAGGTCGTGCTGGTTAGATGTTGACTACCTCGCCTGGTGTACAGGAGGTCGTGCTGGTGAGATGTTGACTACCTCGCCTGGTACACAGGAGGTCGTGCTGGTGAGATGTTGACTACCTCGCTTGGTGCACAGGAGGTCGTGCTGGTGAGATGTTGACTACCTCGCCTGGTACACAGGAGGTCGTGGGTTCCATCCCGACCCTGACAATGCCTGCTGCTGCTGCTGTAGATGTGGAGTCTCTGAGTGTCTCTCTCTCATCATCATCATCATCACGGTGGCTATGAGATGTTGACTACCTCGCCTGGTACACAGGAGGTCGTGGGTTCCATCCCGACCCTGACGATGCCTGCTGCTGCTGCTGCTGTAGATGTGGAGTCTCTGAGTGTCTCTCTCTCATCATCATCATCACAGTGGCTATGAGATGTTGACTACCTCGCTCGGTGTACAGGAGGTCGTGGGTTCCATCCCGACCCTGACGATGCCTGCTGCTGTAGATGTGGAGTCTCTGAGTGTCTCTCTCACCGTGGTCGTCACTGCATGGATTTGTCTCCAGGTCCTCCTGCTCTACATATCCACACGATGATGATGATGATGATGACGACGATGATGATGATGACGACGATGATGACGATGATGACGATGATGATGACGATGACGACGATGATGACGATGATGACGATGACGATGATGACGATGAACAGCCACCACTTTGGTGAGGCAGCTGTTGTTTGTGAGTGCCGTGTCGCCTACCTGAACAAGAGACAGACAGCAGCTCAGCGGAGGGGGGTCCTCACCTGCTGCTGAGCACCAACACGGCCGTGTTGTGTCGAGCGTTCACTCCCCCCTCTCGCTGACAGCGCGGGAAGAGTAGGCCAAGCCGCACCTTCTGCAGGGCCATCGCCCGAAACGTCGCCGCTTATTTATCCCTCCTGCAGATGCTCACCCTCCCCCCGCGCCCCCCCTAATGGCAGCTGACTGAAGCACAGAGACAGCTGCCACTGGGGGTGCCCCTAGGCCAGACCACAGACCCTGTAACCCCATAGACCACGTGACCCCGCAGACCACGTGACCCCTCAGACCACGTGACCACGTGACCCCACAGACCCGTTGTAGTGACACATGACTACACTTCCTGTTGGGGCTGTATGCGTGACGTCACTTCCTGTTGGGCCTGTGTGCGTGACGTCACTTCCTGTTGGAAAAATACGTAATCTGAATTTATGTTATTTGGTGTAATTATGTGCATATATTATGCTAATTTATCGTATTAGTTTATGCGACTGCGTGCGATTATGCTACTATATGCAGTTATGATAATTGAGCTCAAACTCATTTTTGAGGGTAGTATTATCACTCGGGATAAGACAGTTAATTGTATGAAGTTATGCAGGTGTGATGTAAGTATGCCAGATTAAGCTCTGCTTCGTTGACTAGGGTTGTATTATCAATCGGTATAATACAATTATTGTCGCTTTAAAACATTTACTGATTATGTCTTAGTGTGTTATCTCAGGTCTCCAAATTTAAATCTTACCGCAGGAAACAGTTCTTATAATTAGGATTATTACGCATGAACTTAGGAAGTCACCACTCAGACTCTTCTGTGTTAAGCAATTTTAATTTCTAAACAAGAACATAACACTCTAATATGTGAACTCTTATGCTTGGAATTGTCAACACAGTACTCCAGGAGATGTTCCCCTCATCGATCCATACATTTAACCCTCAATGATCACGTTGTTGAACTGGGTAACAGAATAATTGATTAATTCCCTAGAGTAACGCGAGCATCTACGGCGATAGGAAAAAAAGTCCTTAAATATTCATGCAACGATATTCATACGAAGGGCAATAAAGGAACACGTCCCGAAGGCAAGAGTAGTTATCAATGAATTCGTTTGTAAGATTATGCAATTAAAAAGAAAAAAAAAACGAACGACTAAAACACTTCTAAATGACCGTGTCCACGTAAAACTCAGTTGATGTTTAACGCACCACCTTGGAATGGCAACCCTTCTTGAAACACAAAGATGACGTTTTGGAACGATCTTATTTGTCCCGGTATGCGTGGTCGTCTGCCTTCTCTGCCGCTCGTTCAATTCTTCGTGTGAAGCAGACGCCGGGCGATGCGTCGTGGGGGCGCGAGCGTGGGGGATGGTCGTACAAACGGCTTGGCTCTCTTCCGTTGCTCGGGGGGGGGGGGGGGGGGGGGGGGGGGGGGGGGGGGCGGCCACAGTTTCCTGTCCACAGCCGGCCGGAAGAGTCGGCGCGATGATCCCGCCGCCAGATAGCCGCCGGCGGCTCGCCCGCTGGCGGCCGGCACCTCACCGGGGCGGTGACGCGCGGTGTGAGTGTGGGTCGAGCCCGCCTCCCCCTCCTGCTCAACGGGCGGCTGGTCAGGCTCTTGAGTCGGCACAACGCTCCGCCCGCTGGCGGCTGGCAGCCTCGCTCGGTGGGGCTGGCTCTCTGCGATGCTGTTGCCATGGTCGGCGCTTGGCGCTTTCCGCCCGTTCGCCAGGTTGATTGCTTGTCGTCGCTCGGCGCTCGTTTCTCTCTCGTTTCTCTTCGCTCTCTCCTTGACCGTGCAGCTGCCAGCTTCACACGGACACCCGCCCTTACTTCAGGGCCGCGCTTCGTCGTTGCTCAACTTCCGTGTTGCGAGCTGCCCTTCGCCGGCTGGATCGCTCGCTCGCTCGCAAAACTTGACAATTGTATTTGCGCAGCTCTTACACACAACCCCCCTGATAGCTTTGGTAGCATACAGCTTATCGCAATCCTCGATTCCACACGCGACTCGGAACAGCAGGGCGAATGTGGAATGAAACTTTCGGCGACACCCTGGTCGGTTCATGCCGAACTCGGCTCTGGACAACGCGCCGTGCCTTGTCTCTCTGCGAGACACGACACCCATGGTCGATCTCGAGGCCACGCCCCCCGGAGCCAGCCTGCCCCTGAGCAAGACTCTTGCCGTTCGCAGCGCTCCTCCTTGCAGAGCTGCGCCTGGCCAGCTGTCCCTTGCCGAGCTGTGCGTCGTGTTGCTGTTTATGTCTGAAAATGTCTCCCCTCTTACCCCGTCATGGTCTCCCGTCGCGGCCGCGCCTGATTGGCCCTCCTCCCCCCCCTCTTCCCTTGGTGACTCCGGGCGGGCTGCTTTACATCAAATTGATGTTTGTTTGAACTCCCAATTCCTCTCTTCGTGGCGTCCGCTGAGGGAGGGGAGGCACCTGTCATACGTATTCATGGCTACCATGTGTTTGTGTCAAATTGTTGGAAGACAAAGGCGGCCGGGGAGGCTCTGATTTCATGGAATACATATTATCTGGTCTCGCGTGGTTGACCTATTTTCTTGTACCTCTAATGAGGTTACCCCAGGTCTAATCTCTTGTGATTATTATTTGGTTCATGTTTAACCAAGATTTGTAATGTACCATTAGATCTTCATTGGTTCTTTCGGTAAAGTCACGTAGAATGAGAATAAAATAATAAATTGATAAAATAAAATAACATAACACAATAATCTCATAGTGAGAATATTATTATAATCTCATAGTGAGAATATTATTGTGTTATGTTATTTTATTTTATCAATTTATTATTTTATTCTCATTCTACGTGACTTTACCGAAAGAACCAAAGAAGATGAATCATTGCAGTTACGAAAGCTTTAAATCGAAATGTAGCATTAGATGTTACCTCCGGTATTTCCAGGGTTTTATTAACTTTTTGCTCCCTGTCTGCATCCAGGGATCCGTGCTTTTTCTTCTCGAGGTCAGAGATATCGCTTAGTTTGGACTTAAGTTTTCGTGATTGCAGGAACTCACGTACTTTGGTTCTCCTGGTGAAGTCACGTAGATGGAAAGACGCAATAAGAAATGATTTGAGGAATACTGCAGTCCATAATGTCGACTTATTCTTACAGCCAAGCTTAAACTTTTTCCGTACAAAAAAAAATGCAAATCTATCAGTTATAATGTCCGTTAGCCCTGTGCTCTGCGTCCGTGATTCTGGGTATTTGTTTGTGAGCTGTTCAAAGCGCCAAGCAGGTCATATCATGCGCGGTGCTTTGGCAATCTGGAGATTCTGCAGATCGTCGTCATAGTCGTTAACCTCCCTTTGACCCCTAGTTTATTATTTCATGGCCTTTTACGACCTCCAGAAGCTTGGTGCTTGTGGGAGGTAGCGGGTTTGAGGGTGTTTTATTTTTTTTATTTGTATCGATGATGATTATTATTATTAACAGGTCCCTGCAGGGTGGGCTGGTAGGACAAGTCTCTGCGCTGTCTATTGCTGATTTTACACCCAACAGCACGAGATTTCACTTCGTTAAAGTATTGAAAGGGGACGGACGGACGGACGGACACATTAATCTATTGCAGGCTGGTACACTCAGTTTACAACTTCGTTCCTACCAGCATTAAACAAATGGCAGAATTATTGTTAATATTCATGTTTGGGAAAAAAAGGCCTCTGTATACAACGGTGGGCGTGGCCAGAGCGTGGCCCGGCCAATTTGTACCGCGGGATGGACTCAGGCTGTGGGGTTTCTTTCGTTAGAAATGTACCCCCCATTGTTTCAACCGCCATGCGTGCATGCGTGTTGCATGCACGTTAAACGTATTTCGCACCGCTACGTAGCCAACCGTGCTAACCGGAGGTGCGGCAACTAATACGCATCATGCCGTGAGATTGAGTTGAATGGAGAGATGGATGCCGAGAGATGGTTTTGCAAGTCCAGTGTGCTAATCACCTACACCAGGTCACTCGTACGATTGGTCATTTTCCATTTCTTGCATTCTAGGATTAATTTCTTTACCATTTCCGCTACGTTCTGTGTTTATGTCGCCACGGTTAAGTAGTGTATATGGA